CCACGAGAACGTCCAACACAAAGGTGGGGTGATGAGATTACCTTGTTTGCAGAAGCTAGATTGATTGTTGCATTACAACCCGAACGACCCCCAGGGCTGATGGCGGCTTGGGGAGGCCTTCATCCAGCAGTGAATGAGCTTGCATCTTATCCACGGCTGACCTCAAACGGATCTTAAGGGCGGCGCGCGTTGCAAACAAATTTACTCGCGTCTTGTAATGAGCATATTACAAACGCTTGACAAATCTGTAGCAAAACCTTACATGACCCCCCCCCCCTCCCCCGTGGTTTATTGCCATTGCATGTAATACTATAATTGTAGGGATTTTTGGTTGAAGGTGAGCCAATAATCCCGAACAATTGCCCAACTTCACTTACGACCAAGGGCGGAGCCAGGATTTCAGTCCGCGGTGACATTCAACAAATTTTAATTTCAAGAATGATTAGAGTCAGGCTGAACTAGACGCCATCGGTTGGCGACACACTCTGACAATGCAGTTGCACGGAGTCCGCCAGACCGAGTGTCGTACACTTATACGCAGAATGTCACCCGTCACCCCCCTGGCTCCGCCCCTGCTTACGACGTTACCCTGCAAACAATGTCCGCCAGATATTGGGACTCAAACAGTGAGGGAAAAAAGTATGATCCCCTACTGATTTTGTACGTTTGCCCACTGACACAGAAATGATCAGTCTATAATTTTAATGGTAGGTTTATTTGAAAAGTGAGAGACAATAAGAAAAAACCAGAAAAACGCATGTCAGAAATGTTATAAATTGATTTGCATTTTAATGAGGGAAATAAGTGTTTGACCCTCTGCAAAACATGACAGTACTTGGTGGCAAAACCCTTGTTGGCAATCAGAGGTCGGACGTTTCTTGTAGTTGGCCACCAGGTTTGCACACATCTCAGGAGGGATTTTGTCCCACTCCTCTTTGCAGATCTTCTCCAAGTCATTAAGATTGAGGCTGACGTTTGGCAACTCGAACCTTCAGCTTCCTCCACAGATTTTCTATGGGATTAGGGTCTGGAAACTGGCTAGGCCACTCCAGGACCTTAATGTGCTTCTTCTTGAGCCACTCCTTTGTTGCCTTGGCAGTGTTTTGGGTCATTGTCATGCTGGAATACCCATCCACGACCCATTTTCAATGCCCTGGCTGAGATAAGGTTCTTACCCAAGATTTGACGGTACATGGCCCCGTCCATCGTCCCTTTGATGCGGTGAAGTTGTCCTGTTCCCTTAGCAGAAAAACACCCCCAAAGCATGTTTCCACTTCCATGTTTGACGGTGGGGATGGTGTTCTTGGGGTCATAGGCAGCATTCCTCCTCCAAACACGGCAAGTTGAGTTGATGCCAAAGCACTCCATTTTGGTCTCATCTGACCACAACTTTCACCCAGTTGTCCTCCGAATCATTCAAATGTTCATTGGCAAACTTCAGACGGGCGTGTATGTGCTTTCTTGAGCAGCAAGACATTGCGGGCGTTGCAGGATTTCAGTCCTTCACGGCGTAGTGTGTTACCAATTTTCTTGGCGACTATGGTTCCACAGCTGCCTCGAGATCATTGACAAGATCCTCCCGTGTAGTTCTGGGCTGATTCCTCACCGTTCTCATGATCATTGCAACTCCACGAGGTGAGATCTTGCATGGAGCCCCAGGCCGAGGGAGATTGACAGTTTTGTTTCTTCCATTTGCAAATAATCACACCAATTTGTCACCTTCTCACCAAGCTGCTTGGCAATGATCTTGTAGCCCGTTCCAGCCTTGTGTAGATCTACAATCTTGTCCCTGACATCATTGGAGAGCTCTTTGGTATTGTCCATGGTGGAGAGTTTGGAATCTGATTTATTGCTTGTGGACAGGTGTCTCTTATACAGGTAACAAGCTGAGATTAGGAGCACTCCCTTTAAGTGTGCTCCTAATCTCAGCTCGTTACCTGTATAAAAGACACCTGGGAGCCATAAATCTCTTATCGAGGGGGTCAAATGCTTATTGCCCTCGTTAAAATGCAAATCAATTTATAACATTTTTGACATGCGTTTCTGGATTTTTTTGTTATTCTCTCACTTTTCAAATAAACTTACCATTAAATTATAGACTGAATTTCTTTGTCAGTGGGCAAACGTACAAAATCAGCAGGGGATCAAATAGTTTTTTCCCTTACTGTACTTTCTCAGCAACTTAAAAAGGCTGCCAACAATTTTTTTAGTTCTTAACAAGCACTAATAAACTTGGAAATGTATAATCAGCAATGGTTGAGGGCCAATAGTGATGATTTAGAAACGGGTCACTGTGTAAAATGTTACTGTTACAGTAGTTTTGTAATGCAGGAAAACTTGATGGAAGTTTTCCTCCCAAAACACATTATCACAGTTAAAGCTCAACAATTAAAAGATCAAGAGCCAGGCGCTGCTCTATAACCATGTTTATTAATCAGATATCACAAAAATCCTCAATAGCAATATGGTTCAGGTTGTATACAGTATTTATATTGTAATTTTGATCACGAAATACTCAAATACGAGTCACGTATGCCCCCCCCACCTACAATTTCAAGACCCACCTCTGAATCCAATGTATCCAGTCTTCTATTTGCAGTATCAAAAATGGGTGCAAATGAAAATATATTAATATGCTAGTGTGCATTTTATTTCTCTCAAACGCTTTGAGAACCCCTGTTGTACTTGACTATGGACTTCGTTTAACTTTTAAACTTAAGTTGGACCATTTATGCTACAGCACATTCGTTCTTATGAGAAAGTTTGGGAAGAGACATGCAAAACTGATATCAGCTTGTGCTCACGTCTGTTGCGCTACATAGCAGCAGCACCAATGCAGACATACCATTTCAAATGTATGACACACTTAAAATGCATCTACATTTACTTAACAATTGCTGTAAGCATATCCAAGGTTATCACTAGAAAGCGATCTGCTTACATTCCATGGCAACTTTACATGTCATTACCTAAAAACAAAATCTTCACGCCCATAAACCATTGCATGCATTTTAAGCAAATTTCATAAATATTTAATACAAGCCACATCCACTTTTGCGCAATTTCAGTTCTTGAATATAGAGGCACCTGCAACCAAGTTACAATTAACTCAGTTTTTAGTTTAAGCAATATCCCTTGCAAACAATTGCTTTATATACTCCCAAGTTGTAAGCTGAGGGCACAAAATCTACTTCAGTTCCTAGTTCAGAAAATTACAAGCCTCCATTATCTGGAGACAGACTAAAGTGGCATGAAATTCTGAAGAAATGCCGATTATATATAATTACAAAGGCAATACCATTTCTACACAGGAATACTGATGTTTGAAGGCAAAGACTTACAAAAAAATAAAGTTAAACATGTCCGTTTGTTTAAATTTCACCTGCGTTCAAAGTGGACACTTTGCCCTTCATATTAGAATGGTTATGGGTAACTCGGCCCCCAAAAGTTATATAAAAGGAATTGCTGAAGAGTGGATGCAGCTTTACATAAACATTTTAAAGCACACTTTATTAATGTTTTCAAATTCAGTTCACAAAGGAAAAAAATACTTTTAAATCACAAATACCACTGATGCAACACTACTATGAAGTGTCCATAGTGCTCACGAACACTGAACGAGCACACAAAGGCACGTGACCAACAACAAAAAATACGCCGTTGTCCAAAGCAAATGAACCACCGCAAGCACACAAAACAAAACCATTATCAGGTTTAATGTTATGCAAAAGTATTTATTGAAAATTTTTAACTTGTACAACTTGGAATGGACTCAGTAGCAAATAACCAGACTTTAAAATTGTACAAGCCAGAAAGAATGCATCACAACCAAAAGTAAATATACAGGAGAAAAGAAAAACATCTGAAAATACAGTGAGGGAAAAAAGTATTTGATCCCCTGCTGATTTTGTACGTTTGCCCACTGACAAATAAATGATCAGTCTATAATTTTAATGGTAGGTTTATTTGAACAGTGAGAGACAGAATAACAAAATCCAGAAAAACGCATGTAAAAAATTTATAAATTGGTTTGCATTTTAATGAGGGAAATAAGTATTTGACCCCCTCTCAATCAGAAAGATTTCTGGCTCCCAGGTGTCTTTTATACAGGTAACGAGCTGAGATTAGGAGCACACTTAAAGGGAGTGCTCCTAATCTCAGCTTGTTACCTGTATAAGAGACACCTGTCCACAGAAGCAATCAATAAATCAGATTCCAAACTCTCCACCATGGCCAATACCAAAGAGCTCTCCAAGGATGTCAGGGACAAGATTGTAGACCTACACAAGGCTGGAATGGGCTACAAGATCATTGCCAAGCAGCTTGGTGAGAAGGTGACAACAGTTGGTGCAATTATTCGCAAATGGAAGAAACACAAAAGAACTGTCAATCTCCCTCAGCCCGGGGCTCCATGCAAGATCTCACCTCGTGGAGTTGCAATGATCATGAGAACGGTGAGGAATCAGCCCAGAACTACACGGGAGGATCTTGTCAATGATCAGCTGGGACCATAGTCACCAAGAAAACAATTGGTAACACACTACGCCGTGAAGGACTGAAATCCTGTAGCGCCCGCAAGGTCCCCCTGCTCAAGAAAGCACATACACGCCCGTCTGAAGTTTGCCAATGAACATATGAATGATTCGGAGGACAACTGGGTGAAAGCGTTGTGGTCAGATGAGACTAAAATGGAGCTCTTTGGCATCAACTCAACTGGCCATGTTTGGAGGAGGAATGCTGCCTATGGAGAAGATCTGCAAAGAGTGGGACAAAATCCCTAATGAGATGTGTGCAAACCTGGTGGCCAACTACAAGAAACGTCTGACCTCTGTGATTGCCAACAAGGGTTTTGCCACCAAGTACTGTCATGTTTTGCAGAGGGGTCAAATACTTATTTCTCTCATTAAAATGCAAATCAATTTACAATATTTTTGACATGCGTTTTTCTGGATTTTGTTGTTATTCTGTCTCTCACTGTTCAAATAAACCTACAATTAAAATTATAGACTGATCATTTATTTGTCAGTGGGCAAACGTACAAAATCAGCAGGGGATCAAATACTTTTTTCCCTCACTGTATGAAACTTTCCACCCACCGTAATGAAGCGTAGTAGGTATAACTGTGGGTGAAGAATAGTAAAGGGTAATCCTCTTTATAACCTCTTACACAATAGTGCAAAGATGATACGATTACACTCACATAAGTCACCTCTCTGGAGAGGCTACATGAAGTAACATTCTCACAACGCCTCAGACCACCGAGATGGGAACACTACCCTAGACAAAGATACCAGCAACAACCCTGCGTGTGTTGCACCCGCCTCGGCATGTGGCCAACGACCTGGTGGCAGAGCACAGCCAACCTCGCAAAGCGCATCCACGTTGCGTGGCAACGCGCCAGTTAGTTCGTACGGGTGGCAATGGCCGTACGGCGGCGTAGGGGAGTGTGTAGGGGAACGGGAGACCAGGGGCACCAACCCCTTGCTCTAAAGCAGTGGCCAGCTGCCAAAAAGAAAAGATGGGGGGGGGCAAGAGGGAGCCGTATGGTATCGTTTTTATACGAACATCCATGAGCTCAAACTTTTTAATGTGACCATTTTGTGTGGCGCAGAAAAGTAGTAAAGAAAAGAAAGGCAGTCATCCAAACTTGCACTTAGGGATGAGAGTAGGAAGGGGCTTGCAACGCAGAGACTTCACTTTGCGGTCATCATTTGTACAAATTCTGAAGAGAGAAAACATAGATTTCATTACAAAACACTGCAAATACCTCTGCCTGCAATATTTCAGTTTACTACTAAAGGACATCCACCACGACTTAAGGTCAACCAACAATGGTGACAGAAGTCCCAGTGACCGACCTTCGTAGTTGACTTGGCCGTCCCCGTCGATGTCGGCCTCGCGGATCATTTCGTCCACCTCCTCATCGGTCAGCTTCTCCCCGAGGTTTGTCATCACATGGCGGAGCTCAGCTGCACTGATGTAGCCATTCCCATCCTAATGACAGCACACACACACAAATTGCCTTTACAGGGCAACTGGCTGGGCAAACTCAAAGGTGCACTTGGAAATTAATGAAGCATGAATCTCTGCTGTAACTGCATGCAGTTTCCATGCTACTTTTACATGCTTTTTATCAGGTCCTCTTGCTTCCCTCCCTGCTGGCTGAATTGCCAAGTTGCACACAGCACTGCATTGGTTTAGAAACACATGCAATATGCTTTTAACAGTAACCGTGTCATAATGTGCAAGTGCGGACCAGAACTGGGTATAAAACCTTAAATTGCAAATGGTTGCAGATAGAACTAAATTGACATAGGAAAGTGACCTATGCTAGAATATGGATGGTGAATACTTTCGTTGTACATATTCGGTTTAAAAAAACGTTTAAAATAACTCCACTTTGTTACCAGCCATCTGTCAATTGAAAGTGTCATCTTATGAGCAAATACCTCCATTTATAGCCCTTTTAGGTAGATTTTGGTACAACCACAGGTCAGATCTTATTTGATATTTACTGCAAAGCCAAAAGCCTCCTCACATCCTTCTCGTGCATTTTCTGAGAACCATTGGGGGCAGATAAGGTTCAAGCAGACTCACCTTGTCAAAGACCCGAAAGGCCTCACGAATCTCCTCCTCGCTGTCCGTATCCTTCATCTTCCTAGCCATCATGGTGAGGAACTCTGGGAAGTCGATCGTACCATTGCCTGAAAAAGCAACCAAAATGTCAGATGTGGAGATGGCCATCCACATCATACCATATGCACAGTAACTTGTCAAAGATAATGGGGACGTCTCTAATCCATTGCCAAGTCTGCACATTCTATGCAACAATGAGGAAGCTCAATGAAGCGTAATTTGATACACTATATTGCAGGCCGTTACAAAATGGGGGTATAATATAAATGCTCGTCTACTTCGCAGGCACTAAAGGCAGGCCTAACAGCTGCATAGTGGCTACGCAATTCAAAGCCTGTGGAAAACCACAAGCGTAAGTGTACACCGAAACTGCCACATCACCTTCTCAATGTGTTTACCTGAGATTTACGAGTCTTGGAGAAACACTGCATTGAGCAGAGCAGGTTGCAGGCTACCGAGACTCAAATATGTTCAACAGCTCCCAAAAATAAATTTTCCCCTTAAATGCACGAGATAAAGCTGTGCGCAGATGACAACTGATTTTACACACCTCTAACCACCACCACCAGCTTCAATTAAGTAACTGGCACAGCCAGGATCCAGTTTTGACCCCCCAAGGACAGCAGTCTCTAAAGCTGTCCAAAATCCACTTCTGCCATGAACGCGTGTGCTTCCGGGCCAGAAATGGCAAGCAGCAAGCAGGGGGGGGGGGGCATGGTTATTGGGTGTAGTGGAGCCTGTACCGTCGGCGTCCACCTCGTTGATCATGTCCTGCAGCTCTGCCTCGGTGGGATTTTGGCCCAGCGAGCGCATCACCGTGCCCAGCTCCTTGGTGGTGATGGTGCCATCGCCGTCCTTGTCGAAAAGCGAGAACGCCTCCTTGAACTCTGCGGGGAGGAGGGCAGTGACGGCAGAGTTGGCTCAGGGGGTGGGGTTGGGACCGCGGAGGGGGGAGGGCAAGGGTGAGTGAGCGAGTGCGGTTGCTGGAGGGGGGGGAAGTTGGGTGGGCGTGCAGCTTTTATGAGCAGTAAAAACTTCGCGTGCAAACTCGTGGTCTGGACTATGGATCCAAGGACATAAAAGGGCCGTTTGTTCACCGCTGTAACTAATTCAGGCGATACATTTCAGAAAATACACTAACGTTACGCAGGACAAGAACGTTTTTTTTAGGTTTATTACAATGGTCTAATATTAAAATCACCGCTGGCATAACTGTCGTAATTGAGAAAAACAAAACACCTGATCATAAAATAAATATTGAAGAATGAATGCTGCATGTTAAAAAGTATGCACTTTCTTAGTCTGTGGTAAGTTTGAAAAAGGTGGCAGACGACTGACTGGACTTTTGCAAAATTCATGTCCGGACACCACGTGCGATTTTTACCTGCAATCTGCTCTTCAGTCAGCTGATCGGCCTGCAGCACAAAAATTACATGTACACGCAATTTAAAACACTCCTGTTTTTTTTTCCCAGAAAATGTAACGATTCATGCGACTAACTTTTGATACATTTGCAGTAAAGTATAATTATTAATAGGTTTACACGCGAGCCGGCAGAGGCTTGTTAACCCCCCCACCCCCCTTTGCCGCACCCAGCCAAGTCTTATGAATGGCGTTCACACGCAGGTAATGTAAGAGTCAACCAGGGAGCGGATATAAAACATAAGGCCTATTAACGTGTTCACGTTACTTAACAGTAAAGCCATTTTCTACTCCCCCCCCCCCCAATTAAAAAAAACGCGGCTAAGTATGTATATATGAAATGTGACCTAGTTTCGTCCATGGTGATATTCTGACTACCTTATTTAGCAAACATACACAGCAGCGGTACAAGCTGGGGGTTTTAGCCTCGATAGACGACAAAATACTACTTGTAAAGAGTAAGCTGAAAACGCTATTCACACGCATACCACATGTGTGACACGACACATATTACACATTGCTGCTTGAACTAAAGTTATCATGTCATGCAGGAAGCCAACGCATACCTCGACTGACCCAACCCTTAGAAAGAAAAAAGTCAAGTTGGCTTACGGCTCTCCCCTCCACGCCTTGTTGGTCATGGGGGGAGGGGGGTGCTTAACCATACTTCACCGCTCCGGTCAACCCGTTGGTGAAGAGGGGGAGGGATGGACAAGGCAACTTTCGATATCAATCTCCACTGACGTTAGCCGTGGCCTTCAATCAAACGCTACACAGTCCCCCCCGGTTCATTGCGCAACGGTGCTAACCCATCGACTGCCAACACCCCACAACCCTTAGCTATCAATAAATACACCTGCACAAAACTTACCTTCAACACACATATGCTGCAATTAAGACACGCGCGACACTGCTAATGACCCAAGGTGTGGGAATAGTCACAGTTTTATACTCTTGCACGTGCACTGCGAAGTTGCTACATAAGTTTACCCTAATAATGAAGAACGTGTACAACCCGTAGACACGCATTCAACATTAGCCAAACATTTGGTCACTTGATATTTGATCAAGTCAGTTTTGGCGAATAAAACGATAGTCAAGTGCTGTTAAGCGAGTACCACATGATGGCAAAAGTGGTGGTGGCGTGTGGTCAGAACCACGCCCGTCCACCTTTGTCTCTCTCCCTCAGTACCGATGTATTATATACACTACACCGGGTACTCGTTTTATGATCGAGTCAAATATAAGGTGAAGTCCCAGGACCGGTTTAAGATATCACTCGCCACTGACGCCGATCGTGGCTGGGAATCGAACCCAGGATGGGCCGGGTTCTTATCGCAGTGCGCTAACCATTGCGCCACCGATCCTCTCACGGCAGCAACTACACACATGTACCCAATACACGCGCGTATGTTTAATGTAGAAACGCGCCGTAACATGCGGGTGTCGCGTTATGGTCGAACTGGGGCGTGGACGTTTCGTTTCCTTAATAACAAAAATGTAAATATATTTTAAATTTTGTTCGTCGACGGGCGAGACGCAAGAAAATCCCGCCAAAATACCAACCGTCGACCCACCACCTGTTGTTAACGCGCTAAGAATATTACCTCAACAGCCTCCGTTTTGTAAAGTATTTTTTTAATCTAACTTTCTTTTTAAAAAAAACAACGACGCTGTAACCGTCAAAGACGCGGCCAAATCGATCGCGGTCGTGACGCCACAAATAACTGAGGTAAAACATTTTTTTCAACCAAAAAAATCCCCCCCGTACTTTGAAAACATCTATACGTATCGTCGACATCGTTAAGTAAAAGTTAGTACCAGCACCGCGAGAACTTACCATTTTTTTTAGTTCTTTGAGCTTTCTTTTTCTTAAAATTTATTTCGTGTTGTGCCCGAACTCTTCTCTTCTCTTCGCTTGCAAATCGTGGCTGTGAAGAAGAAGAATAATAATAAAAAAAAGCCTCGTGGTCGCCTCAGCGCGTTCGCGACGCTGCGGGGAGGGCTGCTGTTAGACGCGGGCGGGCGGGGTGATTTTAAATCAAAAGCGACGAAGCGTCGCGGAGCTGATGAATACGGCGACGGTGGGAAAAAAAAAGATATTAACTTAGTTTAAAGAAATGAAGAGAAACGGGGAGAAAAAAACCCTCCGCGCTAAGCCTTTCCCCCTCACCGAGGCGACGCACTCTGTTTGCTCGGCGGCGGAGCGCGCGCTGATGTACGCGGTGATGTGGCCTCGGCTCGGCCGTTACGCGGCAGGATATCCGCGTGAGGAGGGGGAGGGGGGAGGGTAACGCGTTTGAATCGCGGCCTCTGATTGGCTGGGGGGTATCCGCAATGCGTCAAACGTCGGGGGGGGGGGGCCCGCGGGGGTGGCGCTATAAAGAGTCGCGCAGATCCGCTGGGCTCGCGCGATTCCCCCCCCGCCGCCGCTGACACAAGCGCACGCCTCCATAGCCTCCAATAGCAGCCGGCTCCCCCCACATAGCCCCGCAGCCTGGCCATAAACCCCTTACGGCCACAGAATCGCCTAGCGTCCCTAGCCCAGTGGTTTAGCCCCCTTATGAGCCCTATGGCTGTAGCCCAGCTCCCAATAGCAGCCGGCCCCCCCATATAGCCTGGCCATAAACCCTACATAACCCTGCAGCCAGCAAATAGTCAAACTCCCAGCCCAGTGGTTTAGCCCCCTTATGAGCCCTATGGCTGTAGCCCAGCTCCAATAGCAGCCGGCTCCCCCATATAGCCTGGCCTTAAACCCTACATAACCCTGCAGCCAGCAAATAGTCAAACACCCAGCCCAGTGGTTTAGCCCCCTTATGAGCCCTATGGCTGTAGCCCAGCTCCAATAGCAGCCGGCTCCCCCATATAGCCTGGCCATAAACCCTACATAACCCTGCAGCCAGCAAATAGTCAAACACCCAGCCCAGTGGTTTAGCCCCCTTATGAGCCCAATGGCTGTAGCCCAGCTCCAATAGCAGCCGGCTTCCCCATATAGCCTGGCCATAAACCCTACATAACCCTGCAACCAGCAAATAGTAAAACACCCAGCCCAGTGGTTTAGCCCCCTTATGAGCCCTATGGCTGTAGCCCAGCTCCAATAGCAGTCTGCTCCACCATATAGCCTGGCCATAAACCCTACATAACCCTGCAGCCAGTAAATAGTCAAACACCCAGCCCAGTGGTTTAGCCCCCTTATGAGCCCTATGGCTGTAGCCCAGCTCCAATAGCAGTCTGCTCCACCATATAGCTTGGCCTTAAACCCTACATAGCCCCGTCGCCACCGAATAGTCTAGCCCAGGGGGTCGGTAACCTGCGGTTCCGGAGCCACATGCGGCTCTTTAAGGACCATCTCGTGTTCACATGGATTGCGGCTCTTGAAAAATTGTTTTTTTCCTGAATTCGAAAAAAATTCTCTATTTTTATTTTGGTTGCCGACCCCTGGCCTAGCCCCTCCCAGCCCAATGTTTTAGCCGCCATATGACCCTATGCCTGTCGCCTATGGTCAGAGCAGACCATATAGCACCCCCCCCCCCCCCACGTAGCCTACTCCATATAGTCCAATAACCTTACCTCCAAATAACCACTCTAATCTAGGTCCATAATCGTCAAACTGCCTTTCCGCCATATAACTCACTTTAGCCTCCATGAAGCCCAACAGCATCCTCGTCTTCTGTTAATGCCAACTAGGGCTGAACGATTTGGTGAAAATATCTAATTGCGATTTTTCTGACAGATATTGCGATTTGATTTGTGATTACATTTTTTAAAGTCAAGCTTCAGTTCAATATTCACTGTGTAATAGATTTAAAACACGTGATGGAGCATTGCCACATGATACCATCAAAATAAGACCTGCTCTATATATTCTAATGCAAGGATGAGAACTTAAAATATATGAATTGCTTCCAACATGTATTTATTAAAAAATTTTAATTGAAATATAACAATCAAACATGGAACAATTGTTAAGTTAAATAAGTAATGTTATAATAAAAAATATTTTAAAAAATTCCAATAAGATTGTAATAGGACTTTTCAAATCGCAAAAAAATCGCAGCCTTTGCGATTTGCTAATCGCATTGTTTCAAATTGCGATTAAAATTTGAAATCGATTAATCGTTCAGCCCTAATGCCAACCTGCACCGACAAAGCGTGCTGAAGTATGATCAACTGACCTACGCAACGACTTGTAACATCCGCATGGAAGAGACGCATCATCCAGGCATGGGCCCCTCACCCAGCCAGCAGTGCATTGACAAAGATGGCTGTACATGTAGCGCACGTGTGTGTGTGTATATAGGCTATGGACTGAATTAGACACGAGTCCATAGCGTATGCTTGTGTGCCCTGTGTGTAACGTCATCATCAGCAGCCATGGCTAAAGCCACTGCTGGATAAACGCCTCCGCAATCCGTCGATAATTCACAATCTTGGGGATACAACCAGTCCCACCCATCAAGCTACCGGCACATGAGCCTGATCCCATCGCTCCATCTCTGTGGTGGGACAGACTTGTGAGCGTGTTTCCTTTTTCCACGGTCATCGTTCCTTCTCTCGACATATCCTGTCCCAATTCTACTTCCTCTTATGACAGTGTCTCTAATATATTATTTTCCGCTCCAATCTATACGTTCCTCTTTCTGCCTAGCAGTCTAATTTTAAACATGCGTCTCCCCGTTCTGCTTTGTGGACATTTCAACTCTTTTTTCGTTTTGTCTGTTTCTGATTGAAATGGCACAGCAGGTAATGTGCACAGAGAACTCCCCGCTCTTAAGGTAACATTGCTGTTACTTTTCACGAACAAGTTCCGTTTTCATATAGACGGCAACCTGCTCTGGTCTGCCTCTGTATTATGCATGATTACGTTAGCTTACCGAGGAGAGTCTGGCCGAGCCTCATATCTCTTTGCTAAGTTTTTGAAATCACTAGCAAAGGTTGCGTTTGTGTACATGTATTCCCAATTGAGTAAATCCTCACTTTGATCCCAATCCACTTTCAATAATTGCCCCCGGCATGTTCTCTAATGTCTTTTTTTTCTGCGGCGTCAGTAATTGTTTAGCGAGCTTGTTGAACGAAAATTTTCTGTATCTCTATTCGCCGGGTGGCTGTGACACGGCTGTAATCCAGCACTGTGGAGGCAACGAGGGTTGGTGGATCACATAAACGTTTTCAAACTCCCCACGGGCGTCAATGTGCTATAACCCTGGCTTGCCACAAAGCAGTACACACACACACAGAAAATGTGGACCCCACCTGTTCCATCTGTATGGGATAGCGTGTTGCTCCTTCGCACGCGTGCTGTTTTCAGATGCTCCAGGTTTTCTCCCACATGCGTGCACTACTTATTTGGCCGATAGCATCTAAATATATAGAGGACCGCAGACCTGAGGGCCGGATCATCACAGCGCGGCTGCTGCCTTCGCTGATTGTCTGTGGTTCTTTCATCGGGCTTCAGAGTCGTTCTCTATTAGTATGTTGAACTTATGTTGAACTTTTGTCGCACCGTACGTAGCCAACCGTGCTGATTGGAGGTGCGGGGGAAGGTCAGCAAACTAAACAGAGTGAGCGAATATTGTGGGCAGGGACACGAGGAGGTATTTATAGTGGGGGTGGCGACACAGAAGTCTAGTGATTTACGGGAGGCTTAAGTTGATTTAGATGTCCTCTACAGCATTCAGATACTGGTCCACGAACTAGATTCTGATAGTTGACATACACGTTTACTCATATTGAGGGAGCGGTGGCGCATTGGTTTGCGCTCTTTACCATAACGCCCAGCTACGTTTCTTCCATTCCTGACCACATACATCAGCATCAGTGGCGAGTGAAAGCGGAACTGTTTCTGCAGGCACCTCGCACAACTTCACCAACCTGACCACCGTGGTGAAGTATGCCCGAACAACTTCCAAAGCTGACACGGTGTGTGAAGGTCTCCATCCATCAGTACATTGACAAAAAAAACCACATTAAATGAATTAGTAAATAGATTTACCCATATACAGTACACTGTTCACTACCATGAGCCATGTTCAATCCACTGCTGGATGAAGGCCTTCTAAAACTGTCATCACCTGCTTCCATCTCCTCCGTGGACGTGTTCTCTCAGACGCGTTCCAATTATGCCTTGGCTAATCATCACTCATCCGTGATTAGTGTATCACGTGAGACACTCACGGGGTTTTTATATATGCTCGTGAACACGTTCAATTGCATACCCCGCTGATTGCTTAATGGCACTGACTTTTTTCTCAACAGGTGACGGAATATTGTGAAAGCGTTGGCGTCACATATTATCAAGAGAGAGTGGAGAGTTACAATATTTAACAAGTGTGTTGGAGATTTTGTGGTGCATATGTGGGGACTTTGGAATCAACTGCCTCTCAAATTTCTCCCATTTATGGTATGTATTTATAGATATTTTTACCCGGAAAATCTGTGCAACGGTGTCCAGGGATATCTGTTAATATTGCTTGGTTTATGTGGTCTATAACAACAATTACCGTATTATATTGATTATAACACGCATCCCTCCCTCCTCCCTACCTGTATTTTAGAGCACAAGCTTTGAAGGCGCGTCTTATAATCTGGTAGATCGGTGTGTGTATATATATGACCGTATTTGTATAACTTTATTGACAACGGTCACACATTTTGTGGTGCGTCTTACTTTCCGAAGGCTCTCGTAATCCATAGAATACGGTATGTATTTTTTAAATGACCATTTATGTGCTCGCCCGGGGAATGTTTCGGGGCACTTATATGTGCTCGGGATTACATAATGTACAATACCAATGACGTCACGGCGCTGAGCTGCATGGCACTGGAGGTGGGGGGGGGGAGATCCGGGCTGCGGTCATGGTGCTGATGATGATGGTGGTGGTGCTGAAAGTGGTGATGGAGGGGAGCGGTGGTGTAAGTGGTTAGCGAGCTGCTGCGCTACGAACCTGCTCACCCGAGTTCAATTCGCGCTCACACAAGCCGACACCGGTGACGATTATTTGAACCGGTTCCTGGGCCTCCCCTATGTCGACTCAGCCTAAAATGAGTACATGGTGCGGTGTGTAAATATCGTCACTAGGGAGACAAAGGCGGTCGGGCGTGGTGCTGGCCACCCACTCCCTCGTGTGCGATTCCAGCCTTTATAGGTGCTCGCTAACAGCACTTGCCCCTCCAGTCTG